ACATAGTGAATTCCCCACAAAACCAGGAACTAGAGCAAAAACAATGAACCAATGCAGCTCTGGTAACAAAGCACGCAGCCAAAACAGCACAGAGTTGGACCAACTCAACTAGTCAGTCGAGTAATCAACATCATGCGCCTTCCGGCACCTGCATTACCAAACTAACTTTTTTACCAGACTAGGATTAATAGATGAGGCCCAATTTGTTACGACCTAGCTCAAGTTGCCACAACAAAAGGGAGACACACTATATGAACATTGAAAAAGAGAAATTTTATTGCACAAGACAAACCAAATGTCATCAGTTGAACTAATTTAAACTAAATTCAATATGGCCGGAATAATTCAAATATGAGGTGTGGACGTTAGTGAAACCTGAAGTATGTGTGAGGGTTTGACGGCACGTGAAAGCAAAAGTAAGTAACTAAGGCAGCATAACAAAACCATACCAGAGTGGGTGCCTGAAGGGAGAAGCAGAGAAAGAGAGTGAAAAAGCTGCAGCCGTGGCTTATAATGTTACAAAGGTTGCTGGGGAAAGGGACGTGTTGGACAACCCTTCTTAGCCTGCTGCCACCGCAACCCGGCCCTGGATAAGTGTAAGGAAATGGATGGATGGATGGACTGCTAAAATTAAGCAAAACAGTAAAGTTGCAGTAGGTAAAACCAAAACAGAGCAAATGGGATAGGTTGGATTGGTGAAAGGTAGATACATTTACATATCTCTTTGTTAAAGTCTCTAATATGGAAGGCATAACATGTGTAAAACGCATTAGCCATCATATTATTTTAAGTTTTCAGAATTACTTTAGTGCCCCCTTCCCCATCATATTCTTTTTTGTATTCTTCTCAGGTTTCAGTAGGATAATATAACATTTCGGAATAAAAATACAAAACAGCAGTCCAAAACTAGAGGCCAGAATAGCAAATATTTCAACAGCAACACTGAACTTCCCAGGAGAGCTGATATACGCTGGGATAAAAGTGAGCCAGACTGTACAAAATATCAGCATGCTAAAGGTGATAAATTTGGCTTCATTGAAATTATCAGGCAGTTTACGGGCAAGAAAAGCAAGAATAAAACAAAACAAGGCTAGAAGTCCAATGTATCCAAGTACAGCCCAAAAGCCTACAGCTGAACCCAGAGCACACTCTAAGATGATTTTGTCCTTGAATTCCTTAAAATTCTTAAATGGAAAAGGAGGAGAAATTGTTAACCAGAGGACACATATAATAACTTGTATGAGAGTGAAACACAGAACACTGAGTCTCTGCTGTGCAGGCCCAAACCATTTCATCACATTACTACTTGGAAGTGTGGCCCTGAAGGCCATGAGCACCACTATAGTTTTCCCCAGAACACAAGAGATACAGAGGACAAAGGTGATGCCGAATGCTGTGTGTCGCAGCATGCAGGACCACTCAGTGGGCCGGCCTATGAAGATCAGAGAACACAGGAAACACAGAGTCAAGGAGAAGAGCAGCAGGAAGCTCAGATCAGAGTTGTTGGCCCTGACAATAGGAGTTTTTCTGTATCTGAAGAAAATGAGTGCCACAACATTAGTGATGCATGTTCCAAATAAGGATGCTGCAGTGAGCAGTGCTCCCATAATCTCTTCATAAGATAGAAACTCTGCCTTCTTCTTCACACAGGCATCTCTTCTCTCATTTGACCAGAACTCAGGGTAGCATCGCACACAGGTAATAGAATCTAAAAAAAAAAGATATTAAAGCAGGTGTTGGATTTGCTAGTATATTTGTCTTACATTTTTCTCTATTTTGCATATTTTCTTTGCATACATTACAGACACTACATGAGTACCAGATAACAAATAGAGTTGTGATGGTTGCATGGTATCAATATAAATGATCTGGATTGTATGAGTACAATTGTCAATGATACTGCACAAACACAATTCAATCCATGCAATGAATGCATTTATTGCAGTTTCAGAGAGAGAGAGGTCAAATGTCAAAACCTCAGTAGGTGAGAACAAAACTATTTGCATATTCATGTACCACAATGAGGAGGTGAGAAATGTGCTATAGGCCTTTTTTATTTTCTACCTGTATAATATCACTACACCTGTAATGTTGCTTATTTCTCCCTCTGCACATCTTAAACAGTCATAGCAGCAGACTGGCTTTCCTTTCTGGAGAACCTTGCGACTTCCTGCAGGACACTTCTCACTGCAAACTGACAAAGGCACCTGCATGAACAAAACAACCATGAGAAAGAAGTATGGGCAATTATACCACTTCAAATAGACTGTATTCAACAGCTTCAATGATAACATTGTATCATACCTGTTGGGAGTTCTGTGCCCAAATCAAAGACTTATTTTGCAGATTCAGCTGTTTGTCTGCAGGTAAAGATGCATCATGAAGACCAACTGTGACAAAGTCCACAATGCCCTTTTCTGTTGGCTGCCAGTTTATAATTTCATACTTTGCTGATGGGTCTCCATTCTCATTAAAGTAAACCTCCTCCCCTTCCTTTGTTTTGAACTGAATCTTTTTCATAAGCTGTAAGATCTAAGAAGATATGCATAACTGTAGATCATTATCTGACAAACATGCTATAGGCTTATTGGCTCAACACCATGATAGAACAAGTGCAAATGTGTATCTT